TTTATAGCTGAAGATAAAAGTTATATAATTTTGATTAGCCGAATTATATACTTTTTTGACGAATGATTGACGAGTGGTATAATGCCGAATAAATCCATTTCGACTAGTGTGTGATTCCTAGCTATAATTAATTTATGCATATAAGATTATTAATATACTGACTATAAATTAGACATATATATATTTAATAAATATTCATGCATTTAATGTCTATTTGCTAAAAAATTAAAAAAATCAAATTTGTTTGTTTATTATTTTATAAAGTTAAAATCTATTTATGATATTTTTTATTAAAAACTTAATAAAGTTTCAAATATGACTTTTTAGTAGAAAAAAATAAAACAATTATATATAAATTTAAAAATATCAAAAAAATATTTTTTATATTTTATAATAGTAATAAATTTATTTTTACTAATTTTAATATTAAATATAATATTATAGTAAAAAAAATTGTAATAAATGTGCATAAAATGAAGAAACTCTTCATTTATAATATTAATTATTATATTAAAAAAATATGACGCTAATAATTTAAATGAGTTATAACAAATTCGACCAGTCTTTTTGTGTGCAGCTGGAAGAAAGTTTCAGGATCAATCGGAGTCAGATGCATCTGAACCTTTACAGCATTGGGAATTAAATTTTGACAATTGTTGTTTAGGAAACTTATCGCCTTCAAATTTCGTTACACATATGACTTATTCAGTTTCTCTACCACTCCATCAAAACCTATTTGCGCGCATTTTCTACCAGCCAGTTCACATGCAAATTTCAGACATCCTTCTGGCGACATTCTTTGCGATAGACTGTATATTGCACCTGCAATGAAAGTATCACCGGCTCCGACTGTATCGATTACATTTGGTATTGGTAATGCAGAAGTCGCGTGCAATTTTTTGGAAGGATTATGATAACACATTGCTCCTGTACTTCCCCATGAACAAAACAGATGGGCTCTATTAAATTTTCAGTTAAAGGAGATGAGGATTGCAAGTTTGTTAATGCACGATAACCTCAAGTGAGGAATAGTATTGAACATTAAATCCAACTCACGTGTCCTTGCAGAATGGTCCCATCACCTGCAGAAAATCACCGGCATTATCATATCCTTTACCTTCCGCAAAAACTTTCGAAAAAAACAACGCATCAGCTCTATGCATCAACGTTTCTAGACCTTTTCTGTAAGGCTTCTCTAGTTCCACGCTTATTACTGTTTTTTCCCGCCATATCATGGTATCGATATAATCGATCATCTTAGTCTCTTCGGCGGCGTTACGTCCCTCAAAATGAATCCAGTCAAATGGTACTTCATTTGATCTAGCTATTTCTTCGGCGCATGCCTGATCAAACTTTCTTTTAAATTCCTCGAATGTTAATTCTTCTATACTTAAATCATATGACAATAAATGTAAGAAAGTGAACGGGCGAATAAAACTCATTGGTATAATCAAAAGGTCACTATACCTATTATAGTTTATGATTGTTCGAGAACTGGTACTATCAGCATGAATGATATAAGCAACCGGTGCATGTTTTGCATCGGCTCTAAATATACATGTTGATGTTTTTATATTATGCGCATTGAAATCTTGGAGTATAAAACTACACAGAATATGAATTATAAAAAGAATTTTAAAAAAAATCAATTAATTCCGTAATATTGTTTTTAATACTTACGTTGAAGCCTCCTTGCTGGCCATAGATGCCATAAAACTAGCTCGCACCAATGGAAATTGTGATAATATCGTCAACGTATTACCCGAATTACCTCCTCTGCGTTTTTCTACCCGTTGAGCACGTTGTTTACCGTCCTCTGGAGGGAACTTATCCACATACAATATCGTGTCCTCATAAGCCGATCCTATGGCAAGTATTTTCAAAGGTACTTGCTGTTGATCATGAAAATACGGTATTTGTTGATTATGAGATTCTGATTGTGATGGTGGCGTTTGAATTTCGTGTTGAAGTGGTGACGATTGTTGATTAAGGTTGTTGTTATGATTTGCATTACTTGGTCCTGACATTTTTTTCTCTCTTTGCGATGAGATGTATTATTCTACAAGTTGCAATTCATGTGACCACCTGATTATTTTATTAGTACGCATCATTTGTTGTTTTGCAAAGTCTCTAATTGACTGTCATGATTACCCGAAAGTTGGTTGTGAACCCTCAATTCGGTCCTACTATATTATTAACCCAACAGTAGTAGAATGTTTATATTTTTTCCAAATATATATTTGGGATTAGTCTCAAAGTTCATGAAGCTGTTAAGTGAATGTTCTATAAATGCATTTTCCCTAAATGTGCATTCAATTAATTTTTCTATATTTTTCTAATTATCTATTTAATACCAGTAATACCAGTTTTTTTTTCCAATATTTTATGGTTATAAAAAGATTATCTACATGTGACACTTGTTGATCCTCACTGTTCTAATATCCTTCGCTTATATAGCCGAAATTCTGTTTGCAAATGGCCTCTCGTTTGATGTTCTCTAATGCTTTGAGGCGTCACGTTGGTAATGGTTTGGTGAAGAAGGTATTAATTTAGAATTAAAAGGACTCGAGATTTTTTTCGAAATTTATGCATTGGTTACAAATTAAATTAGTGAATTGAACTAAGAAAACCTGTTAACGTTAACCGTATTTTATAAATAATTACAGTTTGCTCGCCCTTTTGCATCAGAAACTGTTCTGTCCCCACCAATTACACAATCAACTTTACTTTCCAATGGATTAACAGTTGCCACAGAGACTAATCCATATGCGCAAACGGCTACCATAGGGGTCTGGATTGATGCTGGTAGCAGAGCTGAAAATGAGAAGAATAACGGGGCGGCACATTTCCTTGAACATATGGCTTTCAAGGTAATTTAACCGTTGTTTTTTGAATAATTCTTTCAATTCCATAGAAACTTTAGCGAGATCATCAATTTCTTTGTCAATGAAATTTCAGGGCACGAAAAATCGTACTCAGCATCAACTCGAACTTCATATTGAAAATATCGGCGCTCACCTGAACGCTTACACCTCACGTGAGCAAACGGTTTATTATGCAAAGACGTTTAAAAAAGATGCACCCGTTGCTGTTGAGATCCTGTCCGACATTCTTCAGAATTCAACATTGGACGAAGGTGCAGTTGAGCGAGAGCGAGAAGTTATTCTCAGGGAGCAAGAAGAAGTAGATAAGCTTCTTGAAGAAGTTGTATTTGATCATTTACACGCAACAGCTTACCAAGGTTTGAATCACCAAAGTTATTTGATTAGAGTTCTTGTCAACGTTCATTCATTATTAACAAACAACCGAAATAGGTCATTCTTTGGGTCGTACCATTCTTGGACCCAAGGAGAATATTCTTTCCCTTAAACGAGAAGACCTCCTTGATTACATTTCCAAGAACTATACTGCTGATCGCATGGTTTTGGTGGGGACTGGTGGAGTTGACCACGATGAACTTGTTAAACTTGCCGAAAAACATTTCTCTTCACTCCCCACCTCACCAAATGCTTTATCATTGGGTACTTATTTAGAGAAGCCACCATTTACTGGTTCCGAAATTCGAGTAAGAAACGATGAATTACCTCAAGCTCATATAGCTATATCAGTGGAAAGCGTTGGCTGGACTTCGCCCGATTATTATCCCATTTTAGTTGCCCAAGCTATAATTGGAACTTGGGATAGATCTCTTGGATCAGCTCCTCACACTTCGCCTCGTCTTTCCCATATTGTCCATGAACATCACCTTGCAAACTCATACCAAGCTTTTAATACAAGTTACAGTGACACTGGATTATTTGGAATTTACCTCATAAGTGAGAACAAAACGCAATTGGATGATTTAGTTCACTTTACATGTAAAGAATTTTGGAGGTATTTCAATTTTTGCATTAATTAATGTTATGGTTAATTTCATGTCAAATAACTCTTCGCTTTTAATTGATTATTATTAAAGACTACATACTTCGGTCACGGAAGCTGAAGTTGAGCGTGCTAAACAACAGCTGAAAGCATCACTATTGTTGAATCTTGATGGTACGACAGCCGTTGCGGAAGATATTGGACGTCAACTCATAACGACAGGAAAAAGACATAGTCCTCAGGAAGTGGAACTACTCGTATCGAAAGTTACGGTAGATGATATCCGTCGTGTGGCGGGAGAATATATATGGGATAGGGATATTGCAGTTGTCGGTGTTGGACCAGGTATTTATTTACATAATTCTATAATTCATAAAGAATTTTTGTGGTTCGATGTTTTCTGGAAACCATCGATTTTCTTTAATGACATTTTCCATATTTACGTCATCTTTAATTGCATCTTTTTCTTCAGTTGAAGCGCTTCCAGATTATAATCGTATACGCGGAGATATGGCTACGAACCGATTCTAGAATATCTTTACAAAAAACATTTACAAAAAAAAGTAATGATATTTATATACTGTTTACTAACCTTTTTTACTTACGTATACGAGTCGACACGTAAAAATTATTGGATTATTCCAGTTGATGAATATTTGATAATAGTGAAATAGTTAATGGTTAGTTACGTTAACAAAAGAAATTTCATCAGTGGTTCTTTTGATGAAATTCATTAATTATTAAAATATACAGTTACTGTTAGAAGTACATGAAAATCTATAGTCTCAAATGTTTTAAATAAGTGATTGCATGATTGGCTCTTAAGAAGTCATTTCCATAAAGAGCATTCAACGGTTACTTATGTACTTGGTTATTGAATATACCTATTGGTTTTTGTGATTCATTTTTTTCCCTCAATCAGGTTGGAGTTGTTTATTTATTAAATCAAAATGAATCAGTACAATAGAGATTGCATGTATAAATCTTAGCTTATTTGTCTACAACATTGAATCTCTAGATGTTATTTATAGAAATGATATGATACTTATATTTCAGTTAAAATTAAGATCTATTTTGCTTGATAAAGTAGTAGTAGCTTGCAATTATTTCTATAAATTATTTGTCATAAATCTAAATTTAGTTTTTAATTTAATAATAATAATTATAATTATTATTATTTTAGCAAATGAATATTAAATGCATGATTTTTATTAAATATTTTATATCAAATTTATAATAAGTACATTAATAATCTTTATATTTTGTAAGTTAATTATTTTCTATTGCTATTAACTAAGGGTCCAAACGATTCTATTTAGAATCAAATTTAAATGATTTGATTTGACTTTGTAACAATCCTGTGCTGCGCCTGGGACCCTAACTGCGCCAAGAGACCGGAGCGCCCCTGAGTGACCCAGATAATCTACAAGGCCGGGTATAGTTGTGTCAGACGCATACATGGTGCGATTCTGACCCCTGACGATGTGA